GCATACTACATTCGACTGGCAGGACAACACAATGAGGTTGCAGCGGACCCAACCCACACCAAACTAAACTATCAAGACAAGCTCTCTGCGATGTAAGATGAAATTATTCGGCTTCTAGAACTAGCAGGTGTGACGAGGCTGCGGCGGAGTCAGCCCGCACGAATCAAGACAAACTCTGCGCACCAGACTAAAAGACCGAGACAACCTGACTGCACTGCTAGATGAAATTGGTCAGACTCTAGTGAAGGATGCGGAAGAGAGTAGGGAGCTATGCAGTGGTTTGCAACGAGTTTTGTCACATCCCCATGAGTCATGAAATGATGTATATTTGACGAATTGTTTTACTTACCGAAGCAGACTGCTGTGACCGACGCATTCAGGAACTTATGTTCACAGTGTTGCTTCCATCTTGCGCATTGTCTTTCAACGTGAGTGCGGCAATGGTGCCATCATCATGGTCAAAGATTCCTCCCCGACCGGCTAAGTAATTTTCCGGCAGGCCAGTTTTATCTTATAGTACGTACAGTGCAAATCTACATTTCAACACGCAGTTATCCACTGCTACCTACTATTCAGAACTGTCAATCCAAGACTAGATATTCTCGGGGATAAAGCCTGAGACAAACATTATCTATCTAATGGCTACCAGCAAAAGTGATAGGCAGTTCGGGTGATAGACCTGTCAAAACACGAAAAATCTCTCGGGTCGTTCAGCTGTATTTCGATATGTCTGCATAGTTTCCTAAAGATTTGCCTGATTGGCGTTTCCTAACGCATATTTAGGACCGGTCTGCTGAGCCTGCATTAGGCTCGAATATTCACTTTTCGACTGCACTAATTCCATTGACGGTGGCCACTTTTACAATGCCGATAGACAATAAGGGCCTCTGGCTCCCGTCGATTGCAAATCCTCCTCATTTCACCTACAATGCCACCACTATCATGCGGAAATTCAGGCTTCCTGGTACCAAATTACGCTCTTAGCGATGTCTCATTTCTTCTCATTCGTGAATCGACTAATAACCGCTTATCCAACCGTCAAATATGACTTAGCAATTGGCTGATGCTTGCATTCATTCGCCAATCGCCTTTTGCCACTAATATCAAATGCTGGTCATTCAAAACTTCAGCGTGGATCTAAGTAGAGCTAGTGTGCCTGTCATGCGTACAGGTAAGTGAGAGAAATGCTTACCGGAAGTCCCATTTACAGTTCATACGACCCGAGCTGGCCCTGAAAGCAGGAAATTTCTCATCCAACAAATTCGTGCACTTCCTCAACCCCGTCTCGGCTGCGGATTCAACAACCACCAGTTGTTGCTATTGGCCCAGTGCGTTTTTCCGCCTGTTTTCTCTCAACGTTATGCGGCATCCACTGGTACGCGCGATGGACTCAATGCGTCGATCCTTCGGATTATTGAAGACTTTCAGGGTGTCCGTTCCGCATCCAATCCAAAATTTATTCTCATACGGTAGAACGGCCTTTGTAGCTTCCTCTTCATTGCGGACGGCCGAATGTGGTGTAGATGCTCTTATTCTCTTAAGGACTGTCATGTCTTCCGTCGATGGCTGTACAGCAAAGGTTTCCATCTGGTGCATGCTCTTCTCAAATTCCTCGAATTCTCTCAAAAAGGCCTCACTGTCACTCAGATGTGAGTCGGTTGAATAATTGTCAAGTAGCCCATCCGCATTGTCCCGCTCTACTTCACATTCTCCTGGTGCATCTGTCACACTTGCCGCATGTGAAGCAGGTGGCAGGACCCCCGGAGACTGCTGCCTAACTTCAACTGCCTCAAGCACGCGTCGTCGCAAATCACTACACATCTCGCTACTCTCTTCCACATCCTTCTCTAGAATCTGAATAATTTCATCTAGCATC